GATTGAGGATTTGGGAAAAATCGAAATTCCCAGAATTCTTTTTTTCATCAAAGTGGGACTCCTACTCGGGGGTCCTACGCATCCCCTGACATCTGGCGGGTACAGCTCCTCCTGGCTTCTTAACGGTTTCGCGGAGCCTTCGAAGGCCCCAAGGAATCTGGGAATTTTGGATTTGGGTTCGATGGTCATCCATTCAGCACTCAGGACAGAAATTCATGCGCAAACCAAGCATGTCCATCTCTCGTGTCTCCTCCCCCCCTGTTCTCTTCCCCCCCCCTCTGCGGGTGAGCGCGAAGATTTTCGCGCGCCGTGGTCGTGGTGCTCTCGCCCAGATACTCCCTGGCCCCCCGCCCTGACCAGCGCTGGCCCTCGGCCAACCGCTGTTCGACCGAACGCTGCGCCCCAGGCCCGGCGCTTCGGCAATCCAGGGCAGGCCACCATCACCTCTTTCCTTCCCTCTCCTCCCCTTCCTCCCTTTCCTCCTTCCGCTTCCTCGTCTCTCCCCCTTTTGGGAATCGCTTCCGGCCAGCCGTCCACGAGCAGCGTCTCGGCGCCGGGACCCGCGCCGCGAAGGCCAGGCTTGGGTGCGAAGGTCACCGTCTGCGTCGCTCGGCGCCTGGACCGAATCCTCGGCGAGGCGCAGCGGACGGCCGCGTGCTGCAAGGGCTCCCTCGAGGGCGCGAAATTATTCGCGCTTCGCGCTTCGCGGTCCTCGTTCCTTCTCCCCCTCCTCCTCGTCCTCCTATTCTCCTTCTGGGAGGGCGGCGCGAGAGCGCGAAGTTATTCGCGCTTCGCGCTTCGCGCAGCGCGAAGCGCGAAGTTGGGAGCCCTAGTTTCCGGCTTTCTTGTCGGCCGAACGGCACGCCCACGAGTGCCTTACGTCGCTGTTACAGCTCACGGTGAGGCGCACGCTGCGCTGAGCCGGGTTGCCGTCGAGGCCTGAACGGCACGTGATCGAGACAGTGTTCTTCTGATCTGTCCGCCGTTGCAGTTCTGGCTCAGGTCGCCACGAGCACTCCTCGCAGTGCTGGGGACGCCGTCCAGAGGTCCGCCCTCCAAACGGCCTCGCTGCGCCTCACGCTCTGGCACGCCGCCCGCGCCGATTCCGGCACGGTGGAGCAATGGGCGAGCGGGCGTGCCAGCCACGAGTGTGGTCTCGGGCGAACGGGCGGGCGGGCGTGCCAGCCATCCGCGCTCCGGTGATCCCATGCCTGGCTCTGGGCGCGTCCGCGAGTGGTTCACTACCGAGGTTCGTGCCGCTGGCGCAGCCGCGCGGGAGATCACCCGGCCGCATTCTCTCCCCAGGCGCCGGTCAGTTGGTGCAGTTACCCAGCCAGCATGGCAGTTTTGGCATTGGAGCTCCCAGCGTCGATCTCCAAAGACGTGACTTCCCTAGGCCTCCACTTCCAGATGCTGGGCAGATCAGGGGCTCCATTAATGCAGCTTTGTCCATAGCTGGCGACCCCGTGTGCCTCGCGAGTGCTTTGGGCGCTCTCAGACAGGACTTCTATGCGAATTCCTCCCGCTAGGCAGTCTCTTGCAAGCGGGCTGACGTGTGCAGATTGGCAGAGCAGGCGGCGTCGTCCATTCCGGATGTATCTGCGCCCTTCCATCTAGAGGTCGCCGTCGTGCACGCGGTGGCTGCGGCTCTCAAGGGGGCTCGGTTCAAATCTGCAGAGCACTACTTCAATGAGTTGCGGCTCGAGCACGTCGAACGCGGCGCACCTGTTTCGCAGCAGCTCGCCCGGCCATTCGACCAGTGCAAGCGGTCAGTCCGACGTGGCGTTGGCCCGAAATCCAAGGCCGCAGAATTGCGGGAAGACGGGCTTCGGCCGACTGATGTGTTGGAGTCCCTGCAGGCGTTGCTGGTCATGACTTGGCCTCGCCATGGCGCGCCTGGGTGGTAGCCACGCGCTTCCTGCTCAGGGAGATCGAGCTGGCGGCAGCGAGGCCTGCGCACGTAGATTTTCCCTCGGCCGGGAGCGTGCGAATGCGCCTCCCCGTGTCGAAGACCGACACCTGGGGTTGCTGGCGCGGCCGTCGCGCTGAAATGCGCATGTCAGTTGGGCCCCTTCGACATTGTTTCGCGCCCCGTGCACGTATTGATGGCGCACATTGAGGCGCGACGTCGCGCTACTGGCACTCGCGCCCAGGACGCGCGCGAGCTTGAACAGCCGCTTTTCCCAGACGTTGCCGGCGGCACGGTGTCCAAGGACGCAGTCATTCAGGGCTGGCAGCGCCTCACGGTCGACGGGCACCCTGTGCTAGGAGGCCACTCTGCGATACGTTCTGGTGCAAACCGATACGCGCGACCCTTATGGCCGCTCTCAAGCATCCAAGCGGTCGGGCGCTAGGCTTCCTGCGCGGTGTTGGAATACGTTGAAGATGCGCTCATTGAGCGGCCACTCGACGGCCAGGGGCGCGCCGCGAGCTCTTCTGCAGAACTGCCGCCGGAGGCCCAGCTCGAGCCACTTGCGCGACGCGTCGCCAACCTGGAAGCGTCGCTGCATTCGCAGGCAGTGGCACGGGGGCTACCAACCTCGCGGCTACTGGAGGTCAAGATCTCCGCGCCTTTGGCAGGTCGGTCCCGGCGGGTCCGGTCAGAATCTTCTGGCACCATACACGCAGTCGCGAGCCCGCTGGACACGCCGTTGCCGTCGTGGCGTACATGCTACGGCTGGCGATTCGGCTCGTCCGCAAGCCTCTCGACCTTCCTCAGCGAAGCGCCAGCAGCCGACGGAGCCAACCTCTGTCGAAAATGCCCGGTGCACCAATTCGCTCTCTCAGTCGCCGCGGCTTCTCCAGGTGGTGGAGAGTGCGTCGCCTGAAGGCTGCGGGCCGCCGCCGCCGGCGCGCGCCCGCTACTTTCACTTCCACGAGGCTGATGGTTCACGCCCCACGGGCTGGGGCCATGTTTGGGTCTTCCCTTCGCCTCCGCGAGGCTGGCGGCCCACGCCCCGCGGGCCGGGTCCGCCTCTAGCATTACACCTTCGCCTCCACGAGGCTGGTGGTCCACGCCCCACGGGCCGGGATCATCTTGGGTCTTCCCTTCGCCTCCACGAGGCTGGCGGCCGACGCCCCGCGGGCCGGGGCCGCCTCCAGGGTTGCACCCTCGCCTCCACGAGGCTGGCGGTCCACGCCCCACGGGCCGGGGCCGCCTCCCGGTCTGCCCCTTCGCGCCTCCTCGAGGCTGATGGTCACGCGCCACGGGTCGGACTCATCTGCGGGGCTTCCCTTTCGCCTCCACGAGGGCGGCGGTCGGACCCCGCGGGCCCGCGTCGTCCTTCGCAGCGCAGCCGTTTCACTCAGTCACAACGGACCTGCCGAGCACGCAGGACGTGGCGCACTGATGTACAAGAGGAAATGCCCGCCTATCTCAAGGGTGGTTGGGTGGGATTGCAGGAAGGGAAGTGCTTGTCATATGTTGATCCTGAATGCGCGGCCCCAGGCGGAGGTCCCGGCCCTTTCCCGGGTCCGGTGTTTTGTCCCAGATCCATTTCTCATGGCCCCGAGGTTTGGCATGCAGCTGCCACGAGGGTTCATGAACAACACCCGCTTTGGAGATGGGCCTCACGTTCTTCGCGTGTGGGCTTTTCACCTCGTGACGTTCTTGCCCCTCTTGGGCCGTTTCGGGGCGGTCTTGGGCGCCTCTTGAGCCGTCTAGCAGCGTTGAAGCCCGAAGCGGTAAGAACGGCAAAATTATTCAAACACCTTCAGAACAATTGTAGTTCACTCTTGGGGCACATTTGTTTTGGAAACGTTCTTGGCCCGCGTCCGCGTTTCCGAGTTTCGACTGTATCGTCGTGGAGAGTCTTTCGTTCCTTTGGTGCGCCGGACAATTCGCCTTTCGGTTGCCTCGATTAGCCGTGCACGCTGGAGCGGACTGCCTCTGCTTCGCCGCCGACGAAAAAGTCGTCGCGGAGACCTGGGACCGCTGCCGCACCTTCGTGGCGATCTGGGGCCGCTGCTGCACGTTCGCCTCGGCCCCCCGCATGCGGTCCCTCCTCTCCTTCCCGCCCGCGTGCCCCTTCGTCCTCCGCTCTTCCTCCGCGGCCCGCGCCCAGGGGAGGCAGCCGTCTCCCCATAGGGGGGGGGGAGGCGATGGGGAGAGGGGGCTTGCGACATCAGCTGCGCGCAGCCAGTTTCGGCCCCACCACCGCCGGGCGCTTCCCTCCACGAGCTGGCGGTTCCGGCGCTGGGAGGCGCTGGGGAAACCAGCGTCCGCTGATTCGCTTGCGGTCAACCCGCGTAGTAAGGATGGGCGACCTTCCCAAGGGTACCCTGGCATCCTTGCCTCCTCGGTCCCTCCTTGGTCACTTTCGTTGGCCGCGCCCCGCTCGAACAGCTTCGAAATTGGCTTCCGAAGCCATTGCATTTTTTTCGCGCGCTCCTATTAATACGGGTTGACTGTTCCCCCTCTCTACGATCTTCCATTTCGTCCGGCCCCACGTGCGGCGTTGCGTATCCGCGGTCGAAAACCAGCCTGACCCCGCTGAGTCCTGCTTGATCTTGCGCAATCCCGGGCTCTCTCGGGGACCTACTCGGAATTAATAACCAGCTCGCAATCGTTCTTGCGAAAACCTCCCAGAAGTGGCCTCCGAACCTTTCTTTCCCCAGGACTGGTTTCTACATCCCGAGTCGTTCTGGGAATGTCCCAGGGCCCAGCGAGGGCCCCCAAGGGCCGAAGAAAGCAACTCATCTTGTCGCAAAAAAAAAAAACGCCACAAACATAAACTTTTGGCGCTCCGCGCGGATTTCTTGTATCCGCGCTGGGCCCCCCAGCGGCGCCTCCGGCGCCGCTCCTGGCGTGCTCCGCGCGCCATGGAAGGGGGGTCCAGCGCAGATCAAAGAAACCGGAGCGCCGTAAGTTTCTGCTTTTGGCGTTTTTCCTCATTCGACTGTCCCGTCTCGCAGAGTGCGAGCACGTCTGGGCTCTCGCCCGTCGGGAGTCGCCGCACCTTCGCGCCCGGCCCGACCTGCCGGCGGCGGCCGCGCCACAGCGGAGGTCCTCTCGCAGGCCACCGCGGGCCACGAGCAGGGCGTGCTGCTCGGCCTCAGGCAGCGCGGGCGCGGGGTCAGCTCCCCCTCGTCATGCGGCGCTTGGGCGTCGCGCAAAGGGGGGAACGATACGAGTGTGCCTCTCCAGGAGGAAAAATGATCAAAAAGGAGTCTGGGCACGATTTTTTGAGTATGCTTGATTACTTTTGATTCGTTTGGGGCAGTTTTTTTTATTTTTCGTCCATATTCTGCCTGTGAGGGGACATGCCCGACCTAACACGAGTGGGGTGGCAGCGAGGGCTGCACAAAAGGGGCCCGTGAGGGCTCCTAAAGGGACCTTTTCAGGGCCCCCCAAAGTTGGCAGTGCCAGAGAGGTGCACCTCTCCCCCCCCCCGTGCTATATGGGGGGGGAGGAAGGTGCACTTCTCGGGCACGAGCCAAAGGTCGGTGGGGAAGTCTTCCACGCAGACTTTCGGTTCGTGTGGGGGGGGGCGTCGCTTGTATCGCCCCCCCACTAAGCGACGCCCAGGGCACGGACGGCTGGCTCTCTGCCTGCTCTCGGGGGCGGCCACGGCGCGTGGCCTGCGCGCACACAGGAAGACGGGGAACGGCGGCGCCGTCGCCCTCGTCTCGGAGGTTTCTGGGCGTTCCTGGAGGCTCTCGTCGCCATGGCCGAGCTTGGAGAACTGGCCAGGAGGAGCCCCAGGCTGGGCCCCGTGGAGCAGTTTTGAGCGGATTGGGTCGGGAGGGCGGGGCGCGCGGCGGGCGGCCGTCTCCGAAGTTCCGCAGGCGGGGGCCTTTCAGAGGGCGTGTTTTCTCGCCTCCACTTCGCAACGCCGCAGCCCGGGTTGCCTGGGCGCGCGTGCGCACTTCCTCTGCCGCGCTGCGACGTAAGAACATGTTGTTTCGCCTCTGGATATTTTCCAGCAGCTGCGCCTCTTCGAGAGCTTTCCGGGGGTGCCCGCTTCTTCCCGAACGGCCGTCGGAGCCCCGAGTGGTGACCCGAAAGCCACCAGGCGTCGATGAGGAGGGGGTGGATTTCATGGCCAGGGCCATGAGGTCTCCCCAGATGTCATGTCATGTCGTGCCATGCCATGTATTCTTATTTTGTTTATTAGTATTATTCTTATTGTTATTATTTTGCTTATTCCTTTTCGTTTTTAACAAACACGTCCCCTGGTCCCGCCCCCTCCCCGTCCGCGCACGTGCCTCGGGCCATGGCTTGCACCCCCCAGCTGGCGTATCAGGCACAAGGTTTGTCGGTCAGCTGGCGGGAAGAACCAGCATTTCTCAGGGTGTCGAAGTCCCAATCCCGAGGGACGCGGCACGAGAAAACGCGAAGGATGGCGGCGCAACGCAGGTGAACACCTGCGTCGCGATGCCGTTCGGCGAGGAGATCACCATTTTCATATGTTTCATGGTGGGAGTGGTGGTGGGGGGCGTGGCAAAGCATGCGCAACATGCAGCACTCGTAGCACATCCGCAACGCGCACATCGATGCAGATCGGCCTTGGGCCGATTTACACGTGCAAATGAATGCCCACGGTGCCGAACAGCATTCGCACGCAGACAAGTAGCAGTATATCATGTTATGGCAGCAGCTGAAGGTGCAACCAAGACATGGTACAACAACAGCGGAAGATGAAACCGCGAGTTGATTGTCCCCGACCGCTTAAATGGCTCGCTCTGTAGCCATGTTGGTCGACATCTCGGCGTTTTCCAGACCCGCGCAGTAGCGCGCCGCATTGGCCCCGAGGCCGCTCGCCCACCCAAGCGCGGAGGCGCCGAGGGCGGCGCGGAGGGCGCCCGAGCGGGGCGCGGCGTCGGCAGCGGGAGGACAACGGGGGCAGGAGACGGGCAGTGGGGCCGAAAGGAAAGGGATACGACCGCAAGTTCGAAGGAGTGTTGATGGACAACATCACCAGCCTACAGCGCCCTGCGCTCTCGCGCGACTCCCGTGGCCGCGAGCTGGCAGCGGCGGCGTTCGACTTCTGGCTGTGCCCGAGCAATGCCCATCTTGCGAGGGCAGGGGGGGGGGGGGTCGGTGGCGGACTGCGAGAAGACGTTGAAGGACAGAGGGGAGGGCCATGGCATGGGGCCGCCTCGCTCACAAGTCTCGGCGGCGATGGCGGGGGCGACGAAGGGTGGGGAAAGAGGGCTGCCGTGCGAGGAGACTTTGAGCAGGTGGCTGCAGATGGCGAACGGAGAGAAAGGCCAGCACATAGCCGGCGAGACGTTCAAATCGCGCAGGACCAAGGGCGCGCGCGCGCGCGAAAGAAGGCGCCCCTGCGGAGCAGAAGCATACACAGATCGCGGTGCATTTCAACATGTGGGCGGATCTACGCCAGCGCGACACGGGAGATCTCGTGGCGCCCACGATCGACGAGGCACGCGTGGCCTTCATCGCGGGAATGCAGAAGGTTGGCGCGGAGAAGCTGATGGGCCAGGCGCCGAAGCCAGGATTGGCGCGGGCGGTGGAGAGGCAGCTGCGCGCGAACTTGGAGGGGTGAGCATGAGCAGTGCAGCGGACGGCGCAGCAGTCAGCAGTGCGCGATCAGCCTCTAGCGAGGCGAAGAGTCAGCCCCCTGAAACGGGGTAAAGTGGCCGGGCGACATCCCCCCGAGGCGGGGGGGGATAGCGCCCAGCCTGGTGGGTCTCAGAGGGGCAGCAGGGGTCCCCGCTGCCGGCCTATCCAGGATGCCCAGTTTCCTTTCTCGAGCCTCCGAGCCCCCCTCTCCACTTCGTCTTCCCAAGTCGAACCTGCTCGAGCTATAGTTTCTCAGCGCGTTGCGGGCTAGCATTCTGGCAAACGTAGAGCGAATGGCAGCGGCGGGTAGCAGCAGAGCTCGGCTGATGTTAGAAGGCGCTCATAGGCTAATGCGCCGCCCTCCTCCCCGCGACCCATGAGGTGGTAGGTGCGAGGAGGCGTGGGCTTACGAGGAATAGGGCGGCGGGGACATGCGTGCGCATCCGTGCCGAAGGTCCGCTAGTGCAAGAAGCTAGGGAGTTTCTCATGCTAGCGGGCTAGGCTGCGGTTTGTAAATGCCGCCCCCCCGACCGCGTTCGATCGCCGCGCAGGGGGCGCCACAGAAGGCAGAGCATGGCCCCTAGATGTCCACGCCAAAGCACAGAGACCAATTGCCTCCCGAGCGTTCCATCCATCCATCCATCCATCCATCCATCCCTCGATGCTCGGCGACGCGACTCCCCTCTTCGCAGGGTATAATTTGTTGAGTCTCTGCGGTTTCTCTGTCATCTCGCCCTCGCTGGGGCGTTGTCCAGCCCCGGGGCCGTCGCAGACGAATCCGGGCGCAAAACCACCCCTGGGGGAGAAGAGGTCGAGACTCGTTGGGGCCTGGATCGCAGTGCAAGCAAACGCGTTGGCGATGCATCAACTGAAGCTGCCGGTGCAAGCAAGGGCGGAGGGTGGGAAGATTGCTCCGTCGCCCTTGTGGCTCAAGGGAGCCACAATGGCGCGAGCGTGTGTATCTCTATCTTCGCTCAGGTCACGGCCGGCGACTTGCGCCAGGTGGGTGTTGGACTGCCATGGCTGTCCCGACCAGCGCTGAGATCGTCGACCTCGGCCTGGCCTACTCGCTCGCAGCTATCTGCAATGTGGCAGGCATGGGCGAGAGCTCATCTTGCTGGCGGTGCCGGCTGATGGGCTACCCGTCGGAGCAGTTCGATGCCGTGCGTCTTCGGGCTCTCCCGGCATGGGCGAGGGGGCTTTACGAGCGGGCGGCCAATGGGTGGGCAGAGGCTGAAGAAAAGGCAACACGCATCTCTTTGTTCGAAAAAGGGGCTCGCGCTCTGGGTCTACAGCGCGGCGGCCCTGGTGCGCGAGGCGCCAGAGCCGCTGGCGGAGAGCGCGCCGCAGACGAGACGGAGGTTGAGGGCGCTTTTCTGGCCGACGTCGCGATTTGGTCCGCGAGCTACCAGCGTGACACGAACGGGGGCCCGCTTCCAGACGCGGGGCCCTCGCTGGACCACGCGTCGGCGCTCCGCGATCGAGATGATCGTCGCGCCGAGGATGGAGCCGTGCGCGGCCTTCGCGCTCCTCGCGCCGTTCGGCAGGCAGATGGCCAAAACCTTATGCCATCGCAGCTGGATGTGCAGGAAGATGGGGCCTGCCGCCCTGTGGAGGTAACCGGCCCGGAATCTTTCGAGGTCTGGCAAGGTCTACGAGGCCATCCTGCTGATGCTCCGGTTCCGCGTCGAGGATGGCAGGGCCACTGCGGAGTCCAGGTGCGTCGTCGCCCCAATCTCCCTCGAGGCATGCCGCGAGGCCTTCGTGGAATTGCGCCGCGAACGCCTGGGGCGCTGGCGCTCGGGCCGGAAGGCCGGGGGCCGCTGCCGGGCCGACCGTTTTCCCAGGCTGGCCAGGAAGTTGCAGTAGCAGCTTAGCCGCGCGCTTTCGTGGAGCGAGGTCTTCGCGGCCGCCGCGGAGGGCCGCGCGCGCCGGGGCCGTGAGGTCTAGCCGTGGGATTTCTGGCGCGGGGGGGGCGGCAAGCTCACCCGACAGAGGCCGTCCGCCAGGGAGCAGAGGTCCATGCTGTGGAGCCCCGTGCCATGGGGCCCAAGGGGGGGGGAACTCGGGCGCGAATGAACGAGGGGACGATGCATGGGGGGGGAGAAAGGTGCCGCATTCGGGCGCGAGAGTCCCTCTTCTCAGCCTTGAAAGCGCTCCTTCAGGGGCCCTGAAGGGGCCCTTTCCCGCAGCCCTCGCTGCCCCTTCACCTATCGCACCCCATTTATCGCGGCACAAGAAGCGGGGGGGGCATGCCGGGAAGGAGGCGCAGCGCAAACTCCAGCATCCGAAGAAGGACCGCAAGGGGCGATTCATCACCGCGCAGGAGGGCGTGGAGGTGCGCTGCAAACATTCGCTGGATGGGGGCGGGGTGCGCGTCCGGAGCCCTGCCCGCGCGGCCGGGCCAGCGTTTGCCAGAAGTGCTGGAAGCCGCGCCCGAACGCGGAATGCAAGAACCAGTGAAGGCGTGGGGCCCCGCTCCCCTCGGAGGCCAGTGCGCAGGTGAAGGGGGCGGCGCCGCGTCCATTCGCGTTTCTCCATGTCTCCCCAGTGTCGCCAGGACTCGCACGTGCCATCCAGAACGTTGGAGCGATCCAGGTCGAGATCCCACCAGGGCCCGAGGGGGGAGCTGGCCCGCGTCGATATCGGGGCGGGCGACGTGTTCGATGTGCTCCTCGACTTGAAGGTGGATTGGGTTCACGCGAGCCCCCGTCCGAGGAGAACGGACAGCGCGGGCCCCGCCGGCCAGCCGCCCGCCCCAGGGGCTCCGGGTCCGAGGAGGCCCACGCGGCCAACAAGTTGGCCGCGAGGATGCTAGAGGCTAGAGCTGGCGAAGATTCAGAAGGAGGGCGGGAAGTTCTTCAGCTTCGCGTGCCCGACTGGTTCGCTCATCTGGGCCTGCCGGCCGTTCGCCTGATTCGCGGCGGAGGAAGGGCGTTTGGTCGGTCAGCGCTCGACGGCGCATGGCGGGCGTCTGCCGCGAGTCGGACAACGCGGCCGTCCTCGCGAATGCCCCTAGGGTCACCCCCGCGCCGGAAGCGTTGGAAGGGCCGCCCAGCAGCTGGGCCAAAGGGTTCGTTGCGTGGGTGGGTCGCGCGAAGACGCAACGGGCCCAAGTGGGGGACGGATGCGCGGGGGGGCCCAAGAACCACGTCGGCCGCGCAGCCGGGGCAGATGCTCCGCAGCGGCCTGCGCGAGCGCCGACGCGCCCGCCCTCCCGATCCGGCTAGGCGGGGCGGGCGCGGCGGATTCGCGCGCTCTGGATTCGCGCGCTCTGCGTCTGAGGAGCACGGCGCCCGCGCTTGTCAGGGGCACGGCGCGGGCGCCTGTCAGGGCGAACGTTGAGAGGCCTTCGACATCCGAACAAAATGTCTGCGGGCCTCCGGGAGTTCGGCCGACGGGCGCGGAGCTTCCTCCGGCAACTGGCAGGCTGTCCAGGGCGCCGTCAAGAACCGGGGCTCCGCGGGCTCGCGCGGGTGCCCCTCTGAGCTGGTCGCAGTCTTCCGGCAGATGCTCAGGACGGGCTCAGATGTCGCGGTGCCCAACGGGAATGCGGGGCACCGCGTTCGACCGCGAGCCCTGTGCAGCCCTCCTGGGCGCGGCGGGGGGCCCGGCAACGGAGGTGCCATAATGGCTCGAGACTGGGTGCCTGGCTGGCATGAGGCGCGCGGTAGTCCGACCCTGCGGGGTTCCCCCTCTGGTCGCGGAGGCTTCCGCTGCCATCCCGATCGCCCGCGTCCGAGAGACGCGAGCTCGGCGACGTGACCGTCGCAAGGACTATACTGGTCATCCTGCGCCGAGGGCGGCAAAATGGCCAGCGAGGAGGTCGCGCGGATTGCAGAGAAGGCTTATGTCGAGACTTTCGCTGCGTGGGAAGAGGTGGTCGAGCGTTGGCCCGATGCGAGAGCCAGCAGGGTGGCGCTCCTCAGCCAGGAAAGGGCTGCCAGGATCATCCAAACCTGGCTGATCATCGATCTCTCGCGGTCCGAAGTGATCGGCGATGTCGCGTTGCCCGAGCGGGTCGTTTTGCGGCGTCTGGCGGATTTCGTGGCTAGTATTGTCGACCTCGTGGGGTGCCTCCTCATCGATTGCGGCCCGTCGCCGTTCGACTCCGAGGTCTGCGTCGTCGCGGACTTCGACGACGCATTGCGCGCTTGCCCACGGGGAGAGCGATCGGGTAGCCGCGGCGTTCCGGGCCTTCTCTGGATGGGCGGTATCCCGCGGCCCATGCCGCGGAATGGCCGCGGTGGCGTGGGCACGGGGCCAAGCCGGCGCGGGCGGGCGCCGGCTGGCCCGGGCGTGCTGCGAGCTGCGCGAGTCGCGCACCCAGCGCTTCGCGGACGACCCCGCCGTCGCCGCGAGGGGGGCCCCGGCCGCAAGGGAGCGGCTCATCGGCTCCCTTCTGTTGTTATGGGTCGCTGCGGGCTTCAAGTTCCACTGGGATAAAGGAGCTCGATTGTCCAGCCGCGGCTGGAGCTCGCGTCGAGGTCGACTTCGGAACGCGCGGTGGCCGGGGGCCAGGAGGGCCCCCCACCCTTGTGCGTTCTGGTTGCATTCGCCCCGCAAGGATTCAGGATGTCTGCGGCGGGGCGGAGCACGTTCTCCGTGAAAATGAAGTGATTTTGCAGAAGGGCGCGCGAGAGGTCGCGGGCCAGCTGCCGTGAGCAAGCGGGGTGTCGTCGCGGGTCCGGGACTTCAGCTCTTGCTCGTGGGCGCCCATCGCGGCGCGCTCGCAGGAGTACCCTGCCCGGGAGTTCAACGAGAAGAAGTGGCCAGCGCAGCTCTTCTTCGTGCTCCGCGCGCAGCAAGCGACCGCCTGGATCGTGGATCAGCGCGCTGTTTGCCGGCGCTGTTGGGAGCCTGGGCGGCGAGACAATCGCCGTTCAGAGGTGGCTGTCTGCGGCGACCCGTGTTGCTCGCATGTCGCGCTGCGTTCGCTCGGGCGCGCCCCTGGTCGGCATGGGCGCCATCGTGTTCAAGAGCGGCATGCCGTCTGCGTCAATGGCCCTGGCGTGGCCGATGGAGGACTGCGCCTTGCTCGAACCAGGGCGCGGGGAAATGGCGTGGCAGGCGGAGTGGGAACAGCTAGCCGTCGATGTGTGGCTTCCCCACATGCGTGCGCGCGCAGTGCTTTTTGCCGTGGGCAGACGCAGCGGCTGCGCTGCGCGACGTCGTCCAGTTCCCTGGCCGCGCTCCCGCGATGAACGCCGCAGCGCGGGAGATGGCTCTCTGGCTCGAGAGCGCCCAGCTGCGCCTTGTCCAGGAGCGCCTCAGCGGCGCGCTCAACTTCCCGCGCGCCGCCAACTTCCAGTTCGACGCGCTCAAGGGCGCGGCCGTGCCGGCAGCGTTGCACGGTGTCCCGCGCGTCTCGCCGCGTCCGCGGGTGGCATCGTGCTTCGGGGCGTGGCCGCGGGCGCTCCTGGTAAGACAGTGGACTGCAGCGGCCCAATGGGGGCGTGTGGGTGGAGTGCTTGCGGCACGATGGGGGGGTGCTCGCAGCTCTTGGCCCCGCCCAGCGGGCAGCGCAGCTGAAGGGCAAGGGCAGAGGCAGGCCTCCCAGAGCAGTGAGGGCATGCCACATCGGCCAACCTGGACCCGCTGCAGAGGTGGTGCCAGCGTCGGGCAGGGTGGGCTCAACGGCGGCGCGGCCTGCGAGGAGGGCAGGTCTAGCGCTGGCGCTGGGAGCGACGGCCGACGCCGTGAGCAAGCGGGACGCTCTGGAGGCAGGGGCGCGTCGGCGGCGATTAGCAGGTCGTCGGCGTGCTCGTTGTGGACAACGTGGGTCCGATGTCATGGCTGTTGGCTCGACCGGCACGTCGACCCGCCGCCGCACACGCAGTGCGACATCTTCTCGATCGCATCTTGCTTCAAGCGTGGAGGTTACCGTTGCTTCCCGGCGTGCGTCAGCAAGGCAATGGAGCGCCGCATCTTAGGCGGGCGCGAGTGGAATGCGTTAGTGGATGTGGTCGCGCGCAGGGCCACAGTATCGGTGTCGCGGAGCCTCGGCGTCGCGCGTCGCCAGGCAGTCAGGGCCGCTCGACTTGACTGCGGCGGTGCGTGTTGCCAATGGAGGCAGGGTCTCCCTGACAGGCGACGCGCCCTGCGGATAGGGCACCCTGCTCGCGTTCGCGACGTGCTTCGTGGCGCGGGAGATAGAGGCTGGCCGCGCAAAGGTGGTCCTCGTCACAATGAACGTCGAGGAGCTGAAGGCCCACGTTCTGATCCCAGCCTCCAGCAATGACCCCAAGGCTTCGGAGCTGCACCAGGGCTTGGGGCTGCCTATGTCGTGGCGGCGTAGGCATGATTGCCCGTGCGTCGCCTTCGCCGACCAGCTGCGCCTCGGGAAGGTTCGGAGACCCCCCCAAACGGTTTGCTGCTGTTCCCAGCAGGGAACGGCGGCGCGTCGCGGCACTGGAAGCCACCGCGCGTGCCAGTGCGGCCCCAGTTGCCCAGCCCAACGGGGCTCGGGCGCTGGGCGGCCACTCGTTTGGGGTCACGGGGGCACAAATGCTCGCGTCGTTGGGCGTATACGTTGCCAAGATCATGGTCCTCGCGCAGTGGGTGGGCGAGTCGGTGCTCCGTTGCGTCAGGGGGGATCCCTTGGACAACCTCCCCGCCGAGGTGGTCGCCCTGGAAGAAAGGAAGGGGCCCGGTGGCCTCGTGCCGGGGCTCCGCACGGACGTCCAGCACATCGATGAGAGGCTGGGTGGCCAGGAGGGGGGGCGCGGAGAAGCTCGCCCGGGATCTGCAGCATGCCGGGCTCTGCACCGGCGGAGCCCATCATGGCGCGCGGCTGCCACTGGGCGGCCGTCGATGGGGCAGAGTATCTCCCCGAGCGCTGGAAGACCCAGTGCTGCGTGGAATTCGGCTGGTGGAGTTTCACGCGCCATTCCTCTCCCTGGAAGCATTTCCCCAAAATGTTCAGGTGTGGGGCCAGGGCACCAGGCTGCAGCCGGCACCGGGGCAATCTCTTCAACGGAAGGCTCGGACGGCGCGAATGGTTGCGGATGCTCTGTGTCCCTCGGTAGTTCTGGGGGTACCTGTAGTCCGGGGAGGGTACTTGTAGTCCTGGGGAGGGGTACCTGTAGTCCGGGGGGTGTACCAGTAGTCAGGGGCGGGGTACCTGTAGTCCGGGGGTAGGGTACGTGTAGTCCGGGGAGGGGAGTACCTGCAGTCTGGCGGGTATCGCGTCAGTGCACGCGTGGATGTAGTCCGGGGAGGTACTTGTAATCGGGGGGAGGTATCTGTATTCAGGGGGGGGTACCTGCAGTAGTCGGGGGGAGGGGTAGCTGTAGTCCGTGGGAGGGATATCTGTAGTCCGGGGACAAGGTACCAGTAGTCTGGAGGGTACCTGTAGTCCAGGGACCCAGAACTATTGAGGGACACAGGGTAGGTCTGGGTGCTGCCGCGCAGGTGAGTGCGTTGGCTCGGCAACGGGCTGGGCCAGCAATCCCGACCAGCGCGCGGCAGTAATGGTGACCGCCGGCGCCAACTTCGGAAAACGTGTTTCGTCGGGTGGTAGTCCATGGGGGCTCATGAAGGCTGCGGAGGTTGATGTGCAAGCAAACGGGTTTGTGATATACACACAAGCGCACGCAGGCGCACACGCGCACGCCCACGCTCACGCACGCGCACACGCACGCGAACACGCAGACGCACACGCTCACGCACATGCAAGCGCACACGCACGCGCAAACGCACACGCACACCCACACGCACACGCACACGCACACGCACACGCAACGCGCAACGCACACGCACACCGCACACGCACGCACACGCACACGCACACGCACACGCACGCGCACGCTCACGCGCACACGCACACGCACACGCAAACGCACACGCACACGCACACGCACACGCGCATGCGCACGCGCACGCGCACGCACACGCACACACACACACACATGCACGCGCACACGCACACGCACACGCACACGCACGCGCACGCTCACGCGCACACGCACACGCACACGCAAACGCACACGCAGACGCACACGCACACGCACACGCACACGCACACGCACACGCGCACGCGCATGCGCACGCGCACGCGCACGCACACGCACACGCACATGCACGCGCACACGCACACGCACACATACATACATACATACGAAAGAGCGCGTTTTGTGGTCGCTCGGAGGGGGGGGGTCTGGAACCGGACCCCCCCCGCCTGGATGGAGGGGGGGGCGGTTTCGAACCTCCCCCTCCCCCCTCCCCTACCTCTCCTCTCTCCCACTCGGGCCGGCGGCGGCGGCGGCTGGCGGCGGCGGCGGGGGTGGTGGTGGTGGTGGTAGTGGCGGTGGTGGTGGTGGTGGTGGTGGTGGTGAGGTGGTTTGTGGTGGTTGTGGTGGTAGTGGTGGTGGTGGTGGGTTGTGCTGCTGGTAATAGTGGTGGTGGTTGTGGCCGTGGTGGTGGTGGTGTGGTAGATTGTGGTGATGGTGGTGGTAGTGGTGGTGGTTTGTTGTATTGGTGATGGTGGTGGTGGTGAGCTGTTGTGGTGGTGGTGGCTGTGGTGGTGGTGGTTGTGTGGTGGTTTCGTGGTGGAGTTGGTGGGTTGAGGTGGTGATGGTGGTGGTCGTGGTGGTGGCGGTGGTGCTGGTGGCGTGGTGGTTTGAAGTGGTGGTGGTGGTGCTGGTGGTGGGCTGTGGTGTGGGTGGTTCTGCTGCTGCTGCTGCTGGTAGTGGTGCTGGTGGTGGTGGTGGTGGGTGGTGGGTGGTGGGTGGTGGTGGTGACGGTGGTTGTGGTGGTGGTGGTTGTGGTGGTGGTGGTTGTGGTGGTTTGTGGTGGCGGTGTTGGTGGTGGGTTGTGCTGATGGTGGTAGTTGTGGCGGTGGTGGTGATGGTGGTAATGGTGTGGTGGTTTGTGGTGGTGGTGGTGGTGGTGATGGTGGGTTGTGGTGGGTTGTGGTGGTGCTGGTGGTGGTGGCGTTTTTGGTTGTGGTGGTAATGGCGGTGGTTGTGGTGGGTGGTGGGTGGTGGTGGTTGTGGTGGTGGTTGTGGTGGTGGCTGTGGTTGTGGTGGTGGTGGTGGTGGTGGTGTGGTGATCTGTGGTGGCGGTGGTGGTGGTGGTGGTGGTGGTGTGGCCTTCGGCTTTTCGCGCCATTGTGTTTTTGCACAGGGTCAGAGTTCTAATGAATGCCCCTTGAGGTCTCGTCAGAAGGGTCTCGGGGGCGTTTGCGGAGCATGCGAGGGCTCGATATGGCGATTTGTGTGTTCCCTCTGCGGCCTCTGGGCCCTCTGTGGTCATCGTCGCTACGTCCCCGCCGTCGGCGCTGCTGGCCGCCGCCAGCGCCGGCGCTGGCGCCGGCGCGGGGGTGGGGGGGGGGTTTGTCAGGAGGGAAAGAAACATACAGACACAATTAATCTTCGATTTCCAGGAAATATTGGAAAATATGGGAAGTGGTGGAGAAGACAAAAACCCAGAAAATATATGAAAATATCGGGGTTCTGTTTATTTGTGTGTATTTATTTGTGTGTCCCAGGGCCCCTTCAGTTTGGAACCCTCCCCCCACGCCCCTCCTGCGCCCTCTCTGGTCATCGTCGCTGCGTTGGCGGTGCGGCGGCCGCCAGCGCCGGCGCTGGCGCTGGCCAGGGGGGGGGGTGAGGGTGGGGTTTGGACCCTCCCCCCCTTGGGAGGGGGAGAGGGGGGGGGGTTTGGGAGGGAGGGCGTTGGGGGGAGGGGAGTCCCCCCGGTTCTGATCAACGGCGCCGAGTGTTGGGGGGGGTGCCCACCCACTGGTTCGAAACGCGCCGCCGAATCTTCCCAAGGCACGCGCCCGTGAAACGCGCTCTCTCATACATGCATGCAGATATGTATGTACGTCTGTCTGTCTGTCTGTCTGTCTGTCTGTATGTCTGTCTGTCTGTCTGTCCGTCCGTCCGTCCGTCCGTCCGTCCGTCCGTCCGTCCGTCCGTATGTATGTATGTATGTATGTATGTATGTATGTATGTATGTATTTATGCATGTATGCATACATGCATGTATGTATGAATGTAAGCATGCATGCATGCATGCATGCATGTATGTATGTATGTATGTATGTATGCATGTATGTAGGTGTGTATGTATGTATGTATGTGTGTATGTATATATGTAGATATGTATGTATGTATGTATGTATGTATGTATGTATGTGTTTATGTATGTAGGTATGTATATGTAAATGTATACGTGCGTATGTATGTATGTATGCATGTATGTATGTATGTAAGTACTGTATGTATGCATGCATGTATGCATGCATGTATGTGTATGTATGGATGGATGGATGGATGGATGGATGTATACGTGTATGTATGTGTGTGCATGCATGTATGTATGTATGTATGTATGTATGTATGTATGTATGTATGTATGTATGTATGTATGTATGTATGTGTGTATGGATGTATGGATGTATGGATGTATGCATGTGTGTATGCATGTGTGTATGTATGTATGTATGCATGTATGTATGTATGTCTGTATGTGTGTATGTATGTCTGTGTGCGTATGTATGTATGTATGCATGCATGCATGTTTGTATGTATGCATGTATGTATGTATGCATGCATGCATGCATGTATGTATGTATGTATGTATGTATGTATGGATGTATATATGTATGTAGGCAGGCAGGCAGGCAGGCAGGCAGGCAGGTAGGTATGTATGCATGCATGCATGCATGCATGCAAGCATGCATGTACGTATGTATGTATGTATGCTGGTTCGTTTGTTTGTTTGTTTGTTTGTATGTATGTATGTATGTGTGCATGTTTGCATGTGTATGTGTGTGTTTGTATGTATGTATGTATGTATGTATGGATGGATGGATGTATGCATGCATGCATGCATGCATGTATGTATGTATGCATGCATGCATGCATGCATGTATGTGTGCATGTATGTATGTATGTATATATGTATGTATGTATGTATGTATGTATGCATGTATATATGTATTTCAAGTATATGCATATGCATATACTCATTCTACCCATGAAAGTACAAGGAACAGCCAGCATGTCACCGTCACCCGACCCACAGGGGGCGGAGGTACACGCCTTCGGCCCCCGTGATGGCCGAAGAGGCCCCAAGAGAGCTCCACAGTGCGTTCAGACGGCCCAAGGAAACCCTACGAGAGCGCCCCGGGGCTTACATCGGGCTCCAAAGACGGCAAGAGGCATTTCCCAGACGGCCGCAGAAAGGCCCGTAGCGGCTCCAAGACTGCCCGAGAGCGCTCCAGCCCAAGACAGCTTCTTCACGACCAGAGAGGCTTGAAAACTGACCTGGGGCCCCCCCAGAGGGCCCCCAAGAGGCAACAATCATCACATTCCTTACAAGAAGCGTGCATGTTTAGCATATTCGCTTCTCCGGCTCTGACAGCGTACAAGATGGCACAAGAGGCACCCGATATCGCCCCAAGACGGCCCAAGAGGCCCCAAAAGAGTCCCAAGACGGCCCAAGAGGGTTCCGAGACGGCCCAAGAGAGCCCCAAGACGGCCAAGAGGTGCCCCTACAGGGGCCCCAAGTGAGCCCCAAGGGAGCTCCAAAGGCCCCCTGGACGGCCGAAGAGGGCCCCCAGCAGCGGGCTCCAAGACGGCCCCAGCTCCCGAGGGCGGTCCAAGAGGGCCCCAGGACAGCCCAAGAGGGCCCACAGCCGGCCCGAGATAGCTGCAGCAAGGTGTGCGAGCTGGGGGGGGAGCTCCCGCCACGGGGGAGGATGCCGAGGCAGCAGCGTCTGCGCAGCCTTTGCCCCTCGGCCGCGGCGCGGCGAGGACGTCCGACGGGCACGCCGAGGCCGTGGAGGCTCAGGCTCCCTGGCAGGGGGGGGGGCGGCAAGACGGCTTCGAGCGGCGGGGTTCAGAGGAGGACGAGGTACCCATACCTCTACCCCTTGGCCAGTTTGCCCTTTTTTCGGCCCCCTGGGAGGCCCTCGTCGACACCACTGGATTCGCTTCGAAATCTTGGTCAGAACGCACTCCAGGAGAGGTCCGAGGAGCAGCGGTATCGGTACCTGTTGGTCTCCCCAGGGATGCGGAGTGATGCTCATCTAGAGGACTCTGGTACCATTCGAAGAACAATCACCAGCATAAGCATAAATGTTCGGCGCTCCGCGCGGATTTCTCGGATCCGTTTTGGGCCCCCCCCGACGGGGCGCCGCCTCTGTCGCGCTCCGCGCGCCAGGGAGGGGCGTCCAGCTCAGATCCCAAAAATCCACGCGGAGCGCCACAAGTTTATGCTTATGCAGGTTTTGCTTTGTTGTTTTTGTTTTTCTTTTAGCCACAGTGTGCAGAGACGTTCGGCTGTCGCCCAGGAACAGGGGAGCTCTTCGCCCCCGGGTCGCGTTGAAGGGGGCCTATGTTGTTGCACCCTCACCGTAAACGTATCGTTATCAAGCAGCACGCGCAGTAAACGTACAAGCACTTTTTCCTCCAGGGACGAGGTGGTTATAATGTTTGCGAGCGAGGAGTCGGGATACGTTTGGGCGAATTGTCATCAGGCGTAGAAGATGGGTGGACTTGAAGAGAGCAGTCGCATGCAGAAGAAGCCGCGACAGCGGCTGCACGCGGAAGGGGCATCACGTACACCCATTTCTTTGGCATCGCTCGGACGTGTGCATTTGTCCCTACATTTGGCTTGCCTAAGGGGTTCTTACTTGGTTGAAGGCTGGTACCTCGTGTTCTTACGTTGCCCGTTGCCCGGAGGTTCCTCGGGTTCCCCGCCCCCCGTGCCTCCTATTGTTACGTTGCCGGTTTCCCGGGGGTTCCTCGGGTTCCCCGGGTTCTTCGGGTTCCCCGCCCCCGGTGCCTCCTATTGGTACGTTGCCCGTTCCTCGGAGGTTCCTCGGGTTCCCTGGATTCCTCGGGTTCCCCGGGTTGCCCCCAACAGATGCTAAGCAATGCCAAGCGATGCGCCCAGCGATGCGCCCAGCGATGCGCCCAGCGATGTGCCCAGCCATGCGCCCAGCGATGCGCCCAGCGATGCGCCCATGCAGTAGGCGCTCCCCCGACGGGGGTCGCGCGGGGTCCACCCCTCGGCGAGGGCCATCGAGGCGCACCCAGAGCAGCCCTGCGACAACGTGTATTGGGCGCCGCGTAATGGGGGGGGTCATAAATGGGGGGGCGGCGGGCGTGGTCCGAAAAGGTACACAAACGGTACCTAAACGAGCCCCCTGGAGCTCTGGAGGGGCCCGAAAGGGGCACGAGAGGGGACCTTTTCTGACCCCCCCCTTTGTGACCCCCCCATTAAGCCACGCCCAAAGTGTACGCGCACGACATCGGAAAAACCGCACGCACGCGTGGACGCCCGAGCGGTGGGTGAGGCTCCGGGGGGGCCCCGCGCGGTGGGATGTCCGCATGGCCGGGCCGCCCCGCGGCTTGCCCTGCGGGAGGCGGCGCCGGGGGCGGAGGCGAGAGGGGGAGGCAGGGATCGGAGGGAGGGAGGGCGGAGGGAGGGGGGGGCAGGGAGGGAGGGAGGGAGGGAGGGAGGGAGGAGGGCGGGAAGCAGGGAGGAGAGGAGGGGGGGGGGGGGGAAGAGGAGGAAGGAGGGAGGGGCGCGAGGGGCGCAGGGAGGGGAGGGAGGGAGGAGGGAGGGAAGGAGGGGGCAGGGCGGAGAGACGGCGGGAGGAACGGAGGGGAGCTAAGGAAGAAAGAGGGGCATCGTCGTCGTTCTTATTCTTAACGCTTCGCGTAACCCCACCAGCTTGGTAATTAGGCTCTCGCGCGGCCCGCTCGGACCCTACTCGCCGTCGGCGCGCTCGCCTTCGGCTGCTAACATAACAAAAACCACCAGCTAATTTAGGCCGTCGCCTCTTTGCTTCGCCCCGTGACGCCGCCCGACCTTGCCGCCGCGGTCGCGATCAAAAAGTAACCCCACCAACCCATCTTGGGCCATCTTGGACGCTCCAACGACCCGCGACCCCACCCCTCCAGGTCCAGGGGAGGGGGCAAAAGGAAGGGGCAAACCCCTCCCCGGAGGGGAAGAGGGAGGGGTGGAAGAGGAAACGCGCTAGACCACCTGACGCCTAGAGTGCTGGTGGGATTTCGACCCCATTCTGAGCGTGTCCGCGACATTTCCTTCAGCGGCTCTGCTGCTGCTCACCTTCCCTTGGGGCACTGCGGGAATCTGGGAGCGAAAGAAGAAAGAGGGGCATGGCTCCGAGGCGGGAATCTATACATGACCACCGCCTGGAGGGTCACTTTTCGGAGCCTCGGCAGGCGGTAGATCTGGACGAATTCGGGCCCCCAGGGGCCGAAAGATGTCCATATCCGCCGCCCGCTGGGGCACCAGGGCGTCGGTTCCCAGGCGATGGATATGGATATGGAGGGGGAGGGGGAGGGGAGGGAGAGGAGGAGGAGGAGGAGGCGGCGGAGGAGGAGGAGGAGGAGGAGGAGGAGGAGGAGGAGGAGGAGGAGGAGGAGGACGTCGGTTCCAAGGCGGTGGATATGGATCAGCCCCCGCCTCGCAATGGCGAGGGGGAGGGCAGAGGCCGAGTCTCGAGCGGGCGGGCGCTGCGGGGGGCGGGGAGAGCGAGGGGCAGACGGCGGATGCCGGGCGGCGAGACGGCGAGGGAGCGGCCGGCCAGCGGGGGCGGGCTGCGGGGCGGCCGGGCCTTGCTGCGCCTCCCCCCCGCCTTCCTTCGGCAGCACGTCGTGGGAGCCCTGTGCAATTCCCAGGGGCGCCCTCGAGGGCGCGAAGTCATCCGCGCTTCGCGCTTCGCGGTTCGGCTCCCGTTCCTCCTCGTCCTCCTCTTCTCCCCCTGGAGGCGTCGCGAGGGCGCGAAGTTATTCGCACTTTGCGCTTCGCGCAGCGCGAAGCGCGAAGTCGGGAGCCCTTGACTTTCGCAATTCTGTCTTTAGCATCGATTCGCGTCGATTGGCGTCTGGGAGTCGATGAGATGGCGCCGATGCAGCGTCGGTTCGCGTCGGCGAGCGTCGACTCAGCGCCGATTCGCAAGAGCCGGCAGGCTGTCACGGGAGGCTCCCATAGGTTGCCACCGAAGCCTCCTGGTCGGCGCTGGCCCTCCCCCCTCCCCCCCTTGGTCCGTGATGACTCGTCACGTTGCAACTTCGGGGGGCCTCGCCTGTCCCCAAAATTGGTGTTTTTCTGGTGCCCGACGCGGGCTCGGTGCGGGCGCGACATGGATTTGGCGTGGATTCGACGCGGATTCGCGACGGATTCGACTTTGGATCCAACGAGTCCGACATGGATTCGACACGGATTCGACGCGGATAGGGCCGCGACGGGACAGACAAGTAGGGGGCCACATGCGAACCCTACCCCTACCCCCCACGATTTTTGAGGGGGGTAGGGGTGGGGTTCACTTTGTTCGAGAGCTCCCGAACAAAGTGAACCCCACCCTCCCCCTCAAAAATCGTGGGGGGTAGGGGTAGGGTTCGCATGTGGCCCCCTAACAAGGTCCCCCGAGGTCGGGCGACGAAATCTATACATATCCACTGCTCCCTGACCATGCCCATCTTGAACCCAGGAGCTGTGTATGCGCCCTCCTGGCCAAACCAGGAGGGCGTGGCGTATACACAGCTGCTGTGTTCAGGATGGGCCTGGCCAGGGAGCAGTGGATATGTATAGATTGCGTCGCCCTATGAGACTCGCAGAGTGGCCCGGCACCGCTCGGGCGCGTGCAGTCTCTCCCCCGGCGAGGGCCGTCGAGGAGCCACGGCGGCTCGCCGGGCGAGAGCAAGCGCGCGCGAGGCCGCAAGGCGCACGGGGACTGGGCGTCCGAGCGACGGCGAGGTCGGCACAGTTGTGGCACCGCTGCCTATGCCTGTCCCTCCCTATGCGTATCCCTCCCATTCAGGAGGAAAAGAAACACACAGACACAATGAATCCTCGATTCCCCAGAAAATATGGGAAAATATGGGAAGTGGTGGGGAAGACAGAAACCCAGAAAATATGGAAAAATATGGGGAATATGTTTGTCTGTGTGTATTTATTTGTGTGTCCTGGGGCCCCTTCACCCATGCCTAACCATCTCTTCCCCCCCCATGCCCCCCCCCCCCCCAATGGTTGCCCCTGACCCTCCCCTGTGCCTATCCCCCCCCCCATGCCTCTCGTTGCCCCTGAACAAACGGCAGGGCCGTTTTTTTCACCGTTTCCAAAACACTGTCCCTTGGAAATGGAGACGGCGCAAGAAACGGCGACCCGACACGGCAAAGCAACGGCTCCAGGATGGGAGCCGGAGCCGGAGCCGGTCGAACAACGGCGACGGAGCCGGTACAAAAGCGGCGCCGGAACCGGCGACAAAAACGGCAAAACGGAACCGGTAACAAAACGGCCTTGTCGTTTCCAGGGCCCACGAAGGGTAGGCACACTGAGTAAGAAGTCGGCCTGCTATCAGGTGCCCAGCGTTATGATGTTCCAACCTACTGTAGCCTTGACCATCAGACAGAATTTCGAGCACCAAGAACGTACCGAAACTTGCATGTTTTTTTCGTGCCGGGCCCTGGGAGTCGATACTGGTTCGACGCTGTTTCGATATTTGTTTGGGTGCTCGAGCTTTTCTCTGGGATGTGGTCCTTAAGCGCGATGGGAACAACATGAGCCTAGTGGCAGTTTCTCATCGCCCCGTGGCCCCATGGCCCCTAGGCCACCTCAGGGCCTCCAAGGATCGACGAAGAATGTACCCCAGGATACCTTCCAGCCAGATTTCCAGCCGTCCGTGTCTGTGGTGGCTCGCCCGTGCACCTGGGCGTGTCGACCGGCTGGGCGCACGCCGGCTGCATGCCTGAGCCTCATCCGGCACATCCCGAGGTGATTCACGCTCCGAGGGCTCCCCAGCCTCGGGCCGGGCG